AAAAATCACTCCACTGCTTACATCCATTTCCTGACAAGGACTGAAATCTACTCTAGACACCATCCATTTCACACAGTTTGAACAATCCTGCCAACTTGTTAAGTCTGAAGTTGATCAATCTCCATGTTTCTCAGTTCTTGAATCGTTTAGACAGTTCTTACAGCTGCCCCACGAAAAGATGAGAAGCATACAAGAGGAAGGAAACCAAGTGATGATATCCAACATTTCAGACTTCAAAAATTCTACCGAAGGGTCAACTGTATCTTTGAAAATCAATTATCTCTCTATAGGACATGGCCGCTTGGGGGCTAAATACGCAAATACGTATTTTCTCTTCTCCCCATGGGTAGAACTAATGTTTCAAGTTCATGAGAGCACCATAGAACTTCCTTGCAAGACGTTAAACTACCTTGCAAGACGTTGAGCCACCTCAAAGAAACAAACACAAGAAACTCCACTTTAGAGAAGAAATAAAATGTGACATTAGGGCCCAGCCAAGAAATAGGACCATCGCCAAGAATCAAAAGCTGATCCAAGGAGCCACCACAGAAGTGTGGGGAACCCTAATAAGACTTGACTGGGACAGCAAAGACGTCAAAGATCCAGCCAAGCTGTCAATTTAAACCTGGGTAGAGACACTGACTTAAAAAAAATTATTTTATTGGGGGCCCATACAATTATTATCACAATCCATACATACATCCATTGTGTCAAGCACATATGTACATTTGCTGCCCTCATCGTTCTCAAAACATTTGCCTTCTACTTTAGCCCTCAATATCAGTTGCTCATTTCCCCCTTCCCTCCACACTACCCCCTCCCTCATGAACCCTTCATAATTCATAAATTATTTTAGTTTTGCCATAAGTTACACTGTCCAACGTCTCCCTCCTCCCTCTTCTTTGCTATCCATCCCCCAGGGAGGAGGCTACACTTAGATTCTTGTAATCGGTTCCCCCCTTCTACCCCATATTCCCTTCACCCTCCAGGCATCGCCCCGCTCACCACTGGTCCTGAAGGAGTAATCTATCCGGGATTCCCTGTGTTTCCAGTTGCTATCTGTACCAATGTACACCCTCTGGTCTAGCCTGATTTGCAAAGCAAAATTGGGATCATGATAGTGGGGTGGGGGGGAAGCATTCAAGAACTAGAGGAAAGTTATGTTTAATCGTTGCTACCCTGCACCCTGATTGGCTCGTCTCCTCCCCACAACCCCTCAGCAAGGGGGTGTTCAGTTGCCTACAGAGACACTGACTTGTTAGAGAGCTAGGTACCAAGGACATCAACTCCTGCTCTCTCCAACTCTACTGAGGGTGAGTACAACGATGAGGCAATGCTTATTGGGACTATGATGCCAGAATGATATATGTGAAGAGTGCTGTTATTATGCCCCTATGCTCATATTTGTTTCAATACTCTTATCCTTAGTAGTTTGAGTTATATCTTAGATTGTTTGATGTGTGTTTGCAGTGAATAAACCGAGCATTCGAAAATGTGTAAGAGCGTTAAGTAATTATTGATCGCACCGCTCATGACACAAGTTAAACAAACACTGAAAATTAGTTTAGAAAGGCTTCTTGCGGCTGTAAATCTTTAAGGGACTCCCCAGTGGATTTGAAGTCTGGCCTGGAGGTTAGCAGCCCTAAGTTTACTCCACAGAGCTACCAAGTCTCCCCAAAGGAGTCCGTGGCCAGCAGGTTGTACGTGCATATGAATACAGCCGGCTGTTATCTAAGGCCGAGAGAAAGATGGCAGCGCAGACCCGATACAAAGAGGAGGGAATGGTACCCTCAGCCACTGAGGATGCCCCCTGCGCCAACAGGGAGTCCCTTCCCTTCCCATTCTGGCCAGCCACAAATCCCCTCCTGCTGGAGCCCGCCGGCAAAGCAACGGGGGACTCGATTAAAGGGGTGAGGGCTGAGAAAAGACAGACACAAAAAAGCTGGTGTCAGGAGGACTACAAGTCAAGACTGCAGCCCCGAGTTTATTTTCCAGCAAGCTTTTATACACTGTTAAGCGGGAATGTACTATTGCTCAAAATAGCGCCCCCATCCTTGTTCTTGTTTGTCAGGCAAATATTTTTCCCAAGGCTAAGCACCTGATGTTTTCTATAACATTAAAGCACAAAAGTCAATCTGACCGTGAGAGAGCTGTGTCTGCACGTCCACATCTGAACGAGCAGACCTCTGCTTTCAGAGAAGCTCCCAACACCCTCCCCTCCACGCGCGCGTTCCCGGAAGCGGAAGTGCGCGTTCTCGGCGGGCGCCACCTGCTTTAGCGCTCCGGCTGCAAAAGGCAGCCGTTTCCTCGAGGACCGTCCTGGTTCACAGCCTGACGAGCCGTGGCACCGGCGCGGGGAACCTAAGGGTGCTGCTCCGGGGCGCCGCCGCGGCCTCTGTGTCCTCCGGGGCTGCTCCCGGGCCGCGGGACTTCCTGTGGGCGCGCTGTGGCCGGGCCCTCATGGCCGGCGCTCCTAGGCCAGCCGAGTCCGCGCCCCGCGCCCCGCTGGCCGGACCCCGGCGCGGAGGAGGCTGCCTCGTGTCTGGGTGCGCGCACAGGTGAGCACGCTCGGGGTAGACCCGCCGCGGCAGTGTGCTTTGCTGACGCCCAGCACCCGCTGGTGGTCTGGGAGAGTCCCGCAGAGCCGGGGCCCCATCACACCCCCACCCCCACCCCCGCGCGCAGGATTCCCCTCCTGCTTTGGTTTTCATCCAGGCAGTTATTTTGTTAGACTACTGCTGGGTGACGAGATTCTGCGATCCTGGTCTTTGAGAACCTGGGTTAGATGTAGTTGTTTGAGTTCAGAACTGAATTCCCCCCCAATTTCAGAAGGTATTTATTTTATAGGAGACACAAGCAAAGAATGTCTTTAAAGGTACTGTTTTCAACATCGGTGTGTCAGGAAGAGCGAGACCACCTGGCTCATCTGGTGTACAGTGTGCTGGGGCTTGGGCGAGTGTGAGCAGCCACACCCTGGCGTTTCTCCAAGATCTGAAGGGTTGGCCGATGAGGGGTCTGTGGGATTGAACCACGGTTTCTGCAGGCAAGAAGCCACACTAATTAATAGGAAGTCGGCCAGGGTGGGCACTGAAGGCCAGGAACCAGTTAGTCTCTCTTTTCTCAACACCATCTTCTCCCTGTCTCTCTCCCATTTCAGGTCCCAGCCATGCCACACAGAGAATTGAAACCAGTCTCCACAGCTGGGCACCAGAGGCAGTCATCTTGCACATCCATGCAGTCGGAAGTACAGATTTCAACAGTTCCAACAGGTCGAGTGGACTAAACATTCACCTGCCTTCAGACGGACTGGTGGCCTTGCTTCCACTACCATCCCTCCTACTGAAGTGACTTCTGGGCTTTGGAGAGGCCGTTCAATTGGACATAAAGAAAACTGCCAAGAAATGGTGAGTATCCAAAAGAACTGGGTAATTCTTAGTTAAAGCAGATGAGGTCTAATATATGATTTGGTGGAGGCCACCTCCATGTTATTTTTTCTCTTCTGAGGGAAAAGGTGGCCAACAGGCCAAGGAACTTAGTTTCAAAGAGGAACCCCAAGGCCCTGCTCCACTCTCACTGGGACCTTCCTCCCTGTGGATGTGGGTGTTCAAGCCTTCCCTGCCTGGAGTCATCTCCTCATCCGACTCTCAGACCTGGGCCCCTGTAGGCTTAGCATCCCCCCCCCC